TTAGCTTCTTCAATCATCCGAGGATTTAGCTACACTGTGCCCGCATACAACATAGTTGCAATATTTGCGCCTTCTGGCCGACATATCCGATTTCTTCAAGCATTTGTTTCGAGGTTAACCTTCTCCGTGGCTGTAAACCGTTCAGTTATCTGCTGGCTACCAAACAACCCCCCCCCCCCTCCTTACTATGTATGCTTGTGTTCAATCATTTCTGTGGACATTCAGTCCCCCACCCCACCCCCACTATGTATGCTTGTGTTCAATCATTTCTGTGGACATTCAGTCCCCCCCCAACCCCTGCTATGTATGCTTGTGTTCAATCATTTCTGCGGACATCTAGACTCCCCCCCCCCCCCTAAATATGTATGCTTGTGTACAATCATTTGTGTGTACATTCAGCCCCTCTCTTTCTAACTATGTATGCATTGTGTTAAATAATTATGTGGACATTCAGACTGCGGCCCCCCCCCCCCCCCCCCCCAACAATGTATGCATTTTGTGAAACTATTTATGTGGATATTTAATCCGCCCCCCCCCCCATGTCCCCCCCCCCACCCCTGACTAAACCCTAACATAACCCGACTCATTAGGGGTTGCCTAGATATTGTATACGTACCACTGTGCTCTCAGTGTCGTCCTTAACGGGATTTAAATAGTTACTCTTCTTCCTTGACTGGGGCACATACCCTCAGACTAGCCGTGTCTGTGGTGCATGATGGTGGAAGAAGTACGGAGAAGGCAGACATGCCTAATGCGACGCGTTACAAAGAAGTTGTGAAGAGAATCAGCGACGATATTCCCCTTTGCTAGATACTGTCTATTCAGCGAAGACACGCATGCAGAAACTGCTCGCTGGACAAAGAGAGAAGATATGCCAGTCAGCTTGTGTTGGGTGCTGCAGTGGACGACGGACCACCAGTGGGTTGGGCCGAAGTGCTAGGATGCTGCTCCCTACAGGACCAAACAACACGGCCCCTAAAGGTCCGGCCAACACGTGGAGCCAGACGTTTGTTTCATCATTAAAATGTTCCACCAGATCTTCTGAATCGCGCCCGCAGCTACAGACTTGGTGCACTTGATCTTGTTGGCAAGGCTGACAATTCTGTTGGGTAGAGAGAGAGAGAGAGAGAGAGAGAGAGAGAGAGAGAGAGAGAGAGAGAGAGAGGGGGGGGAGTGAGATTGTGTGTGAGAGTAGAGAGAGAGCGGGGCGAGGGGAGATGGTCTGAGAGAGACTATGCCAAATGAAATCCACATCCAATTGCATCTGGCATATATGGTGCCAAATGTAGAACCTGACTCCCCACTAAGTAACAAATAACCTTGTCCATGTGGACTGCATCTTTTAGATTTCCCTCTTCTCTTGAAGTTCAGTAATCGGCAGGATGTGAAGAGTCACTACTGGAGCATCCTTTCTGGACAGAGTTGTGTCAGGTCATGGTCCAGTGCATCAGGCACAGATTGGCCCCAAGAAACAGGCCCTAGGCCCATGGCTGAGATCACTGGGGGTAGAGATCAGAGCATGTGCACTCTCTTACCTGCACAGGGCTGCAGGCTACACCAGCCTAGTGTGTTCTTACCTGCACAGGGATGCAGGTTACACCAGCCTAGTGTGCTCTTACCTGCACAGGGATGCAGGTTACACCAGCCTAGTGTGCTCTTACCTGTACATGGATGCAGGTTGCACCAGCCTAATGTGCTCTTACCTGTACAGGGATGCAGGCTACACCAGCCTAGTGTGCTCTTACATGTACATGGATGCAGGTTACACCAGCCTAGTGTGGTCTTACCTGTACATGGCTGCAGGCTACACCAGCATAGGGTGCTCTTACCTGTACATGGATGCAGGTTACACCAGCCTAGTGTGCTCTTACCTGTACAGGGATGCAGGCTACACCAGCCTAGTGTGCTCTTACCTGTACATGGATGCAGGTTACACCAGCCTAGTGTGCTCTTACCTGTACATGGATGCAGGCTACACCAGCCTAGTGTGCTCTTACCTGTACATGGATGCAGGCTACACCAGCCTAGTGTGCTCTTACATGTACAGGGATGCAGGTTACACCAGCCTAGTGTGCTCTTACCTCTACAGGGCTGCAGGTTACACCAGCCTAGTGATGCAGGATGCAGGCTACACCAGCCTAGTGTGCTCTTACCTGTACATGGATGCAGGCTACACCAGCCTAGTGTGCTCTTACCTGTACATGGATGCAGGCTACACCAGCCTAGTGTGCTCTTACCTGTACATGGATGCAGGTTACACCAGCCTAGTGTGCTCTTACCTGTACATGGATGCAGGCATCACCAGCCTAGTGTGCTCTTACCTGTACAGGGATGCAGGTTACACCAGCCTAGTGTGCTCTTACCTGTACATGGATGCAGGCTACACCAGCCTAGTGTGCTCTTACCTGTACAGGGATGCAGGTTACACCAGCCTAGTGTGCTCTTACCTGTACATGGATGCAGGCTACACCAGCCTAGTGTGCTCTTACCTGTACAGGGATGCAGGCTACACCAGCCTAGTGTGGTCTTACCTGTACATGGATGCAGGCTACACCAGCCTAGTGTGGTCTTACCTGTACAGGGATGCAGGCTACACCAGCCTAGTGTGCTCTTACCTGTACATGGATGCAGGCTACACCAGCCTAGTGTGCTCTTACCTGTACATGGATGCAGGTGCTACCTGTACAGAGATGCAGGCACACCAGCCTAGTGTGCTCTTACCTGTACAGGGATGCAGGCTACACCAGCCTAGTGTGCTCTTACCTGTACAGGGATGCAGGTTACACCAGCCTAGTGTGCTCTTACCTGTACAGGGATGCAGGTTACACCAGCCTAGTGTGCTCTTACCTGTACATGGATGCAGGCTACACCAGCCTAGTGTGCTCTTACCTGTACAGGGATGCAGGCTACACCAGCCTAGTGTGGTCTTACCTGTACAGGGATGCAGGCTACACCAGCCTAGTGTGCTCTTACCTGTACAGGGATGCAGGCTACACCAGCCTAGTGTGCTTTTACCTGTACAGGGATGCAGGCTACACCAGCCCAGTGTGGTCTTTACCGGTGCTCCAAGAACTGTTTATTTCCAGGTTGAACCAAGTATTACCTGACGAAGACGGATTTTTTCAAACCACATTGGCCGCAAACTCCACTCAGCCTTAAATGGGCAGCAAAGACAGGAAGTAAAGGCGGTCGGGGTGATGTTGACCACTTCGTCCATCGTGTGCCGGTTGGTCTATAAAACATAGGTCTAGCCCTATATGCCTATTTAGCATGGAAAGGGGTTCTTTACTTGACTCAACCACGTATCTGGGACTTGTCTCGTTGGCATGCTTCATTTTAGGATTGTTTTGTACTTAAAAAACATCAACATCAAAGCATGAAATTTTCAAGTACAGGCTGGAGGGGGCAAATGGAATAAAGGAAAGAAAGGGAAAAAAATGTATTGATTAAAATTAGAACTAGGTATAAACATTTCCTTTGCGTATTTAAAGCATTTCGTTGTCGATAGACTCCAACCCTGTGTCAAGTGAGAGTAGGAACCTATTTGGACGAGGCCGGGCTACAGAAATACACAGGGCCGATTGAGTTCATCTGTGAAACGATTCAGACGTGGAGTGGTTACACACTATTTAAAGCTTTCAAGTACAGGGCCATAACGTGCGCTTGCTATTTGTTCTCACAAATAATTGTGTTATTTCACATTTCATTTTCGTCTTTCTTGCTTCTGAAGTGTCATCTCACGAAAAAGAAAAGCCGTCATTGAGGAATTTTTCAAGTTTTATATAATAATCAACAGAAATATTTATCTAGAAGCCAAATCTTTCCACCTCTATGACTTAAGCTCAATCAGGCAGCGCCCTCCATTATGTACATTTACCTTCCCTGTTTTCTATAGTGAGAGCAGTGCTAATTGTACCCACTATTGCAGCCAGCAGGTTATCGCCCTTCGTTTTGTAACATCATCGTGACACCCGGCACGTAACAGCCTCACTATATTTCACAAACTATTTGTCATTCTTTCACAAAACTTTGCTGCATTTTTTGGAGGCTCACTTGAACCACCGTTTCTTTGCTGTTTCTGTTTCCCACGACTCTGTCTTTTCGAATATTCAATGCTGTTTTAAAGAATAGCAAATCCGCTGAGTTCTACAGACGGATAAGATCACGCTGTGTTTTCCTTTCGATTTCTGTGTGTTCATGCAGTCGCAATGATAGCTCACTTTTATCCGGGAAGGCGGCGTTTTCATGGCTGCAAATGTCAACGCACCATGGAGCCCTGTTCCAGTTTGACAATGTGTCTGCGAAAGGGAACCTTTAGACACTGTTCAGCTTGTTCTTTTCTGCGTCCCTAGCCTTTTTGGTGCTGCTCTTCTACCTACTTGTGTGTCTACAAAGGGCGCCTGCCATCTTCTCCGGACATGTGTTCAGATTTTCTTAGTTGCACACAATGACGATGCAGATAAGGACGAACAACCGTAATTTATTACTTCATTTCAATAATGGGCACCTGCAGAGACTTTGATGTGGGCACTTACAGGTAGATTATGACGGTTGCACTCTTTACCTGGCAAAATGATTATCTTCTTGGGTGATGACAATCACAAAAAGAGATGATTGCAGGGGTCTGAGTGTTTATAATCTTCATGTCACATTTCTTTTGTTTACGTATTAACTACGAAAATATTCGCATCTATATGTCTGTCTGTCTATCCGTCCGTGCCTCTATGCGTCCGACTGTCTGGAGGTCAACATGACCAAATGTTTGTGTGGCGGTCTGTTAGCCAGCTCCGACGTGGTATCTGACAAGTATTGGATGTAAAGGGATGCGTTCATATACCTTTAATGGGAAGAGTCAGGTTATGCAACCTCTTCCAATGTGAACCCCAATAATCTTCAGTGAAATCTTCCCTTAAAACCTCCGAGAGCATGCTCTCTATCCTTCTATCTGTCCCCCAAGTGAAAGTCTGGTTGTGGTCATCAAATTTGTTGACTGTTTCCAGGTCACGGAGGAGTGAACCAGCTGGGCGGCGTGTTTGTCAACGGTAGACCCCTTCCAGACCTGGTCCGCTCAAAGATTGTAGAGCTTGCCCAGTCCGGCATCCGGCCCTGCGACATCTCTCGACAGTTGAGGGTCAGCCATGGCTGTGTCAGCAAGATTCTAGGAAGGTAAGAAACTCTGTTTGTTAGTCTGTCTGTCTTTCTTTTCCCACCCTTTTTACTCCCTCGATATGCATGACTTATTGCGGAATTGTCTGTCTTTTTGTCCGCCTGTTTACTTTCTGAAAGATTAACTGTCTGCCAATCAGCCTGTTAGCTTAACCTTTTAAGTTAACGTCTGTTTATGTGTCTGTCTAATATAATATACCGACTACTTGTCTACATGCATGTTTGCCTGTCTGTCCAAGTGCCCGTCTGTCCGCCTGCCTACATACCTGCCTATGTCTCTACCCAGCACCGATTACTACCTGCACATGAGCTTTTACTGTAATGTTTCTTGCTTACATCCAAAGTGGCAACACTGCTTACGTCTCGGTATTCTTCTATGTTTGCACAGGGATGGCTTTAACGAACTGCTTTGGTTTACTCCTCCTCATCACGTTCACCAGCTGTACACTCTGGTGCAAAGTTCTGCATGTTTATCGCCTTTTTCACTTTGGAAATGTGAAACTATGCTCCAGCTATAGTGTCATCGCATTAATAAGTCATGCTAGCAAAATTACGAATTATCACTAAGAGGATTGAAAGGAAATTACTATGTTAGCTACATGAAGCACAAGTGGGTTTCAGACAGGGTAGAGGAACTAGGGATCACATCTTTAATATGATAAAAAAAATTTTGAAAAGACAACGTAGATCTTCATGCCTGTTTAATTGATTATAGCAAGGCATTTGATTGTGTCCAACACCACAAACTGTGGACTATTGTGAGAAGTATGGGGTTTCCATGGTATTTAGTGCATTTAATTGAAAATATTTATTACGAACAACAAGCAGCCATAAGAGCAGCTGGTGAAACATCTGATTGGTTCGGTGCGCAAAAGGTTGTGAGGCAGGGGTGCACTCTCTCACCACACCTATTCAATATTTACGCAGAAAATATAATGAGAAATGTCAAAAATGACCAGCGTAAAGAGAATCGAAATTTTAATATTGTCTGTCCAAAAGCACAGTGAAGATCTGTTCTTGAATTTAAAAAAAAAAAAAAAAAAAAAAAAAACGAAAAAAAATGTTTACAGACAAAACTAGCTACCACCCAAAAATAACAATAAATGATGAAGAAATAGAAAACGTCACAAACTTTCAATATCTAGGCTCTAAAATAAATAGCAATGGAGACTGTTAGACAGAAGTTAAAAGGAGGATGACCATAGCAATGCACAGATTAAACAGCCTACCAGCAAGCAGATCAAAATAAGAATTGTGAGAGCATGCGTCTTCTCTGTGGCTACATACGGATGTGAATCGTGGACTGTCTCCAAGTCCTTGAGAAAAAGAAGGGCTGAAACGCCAGAGAAAGATTATCAGAATATGTTGGACAAAGAAGGGGAGAAATACTGACATCTTGAAGGATCTTAACATCAAGAAAGATTGGCTAATAAACAGCATCCTGTCTCGAAAGCTGAAATATTTTGGTCATATCAAGCGCCACGACGGATTGGAAAAACATTATAGCAGAAGACATGGTACCAGAAAGGAGGGGCAGGGGTCGACCGACACGAAGATGGGCACAGGTTATAAGTGACCCCTTGAGTATAAAAGTACATAAGGCGAGAGAGCTGGCGAGAGACCAAGTTTCTTTTATGCAGACCGTGATGAGAGCGACGTTCTGCCAAGGACCTGCTACATGATGATGATGATGATGATGATGCAGTTTGGTTCTGGTTCCAGAATCTGAGTTTTAAAGATTTGGCTTATCTGTGTGCAGACTGTTGTTTCCTCAGCTGTCAGGCAGATGCAGTCCCGTTTCGAAGAAAGCAACCCTAATTAGTCTGCTTTCACGACCATCCATGCTTAGGGGTGGGGTGAGGGGGCTATTCTTTCCCCCTCTACAAAAAAAGTCCTCATTTTGGATCACAAAAACCGTTTCGAAGATGTTCCAGTTACTGGCTAAATGTATCGCCTCGACTGACATGAGTTTCCGCTTGTATGAGTCCATTGCTTATTGTGTTATCATCATCATTTTTACTACTGCCGTTAGGCGGCATGGGGAGGACAAGTTTGCAATCCATTGCTTGATTAGCAGCAATGGCTGTTGTCGATACGTATCGATGTAGAAGCTCTGTAATGGCGTCACTCCATCGTCTCCTAGGGCGACATCTGTATTTCACTTTACATTTGTTCATGTTTAGCACCGCGTTGGTAGCTGTTCTGACTCCATTCTTAGTAGATGACCAAACCACATATTTTATGTTCCTCAGTGAATTTGGTGCATGATGTTCTCACATGATAATATCATTTCCAACTTAGGATGGTTAAGTTCGCGCCTTTCTGATGCTTCTTATTTCACAGGTGGTAATTTTACGTAGGTTAGCCTTTTCCAAGTCTGGCACTGATAGCACTGTATTGTGTGGATAAGCTATTTATAATATGTTTCTTGGTGCTCATACTTATGATTGGATGTTTTAATAACTGTAAATTGTGTGTAACCCATTTATAGTCTAGATAAGTCACTAGCAGCGGCGGCAGTAGAAAAAGGTAATGGAAGGGTTCAGCAAAGAGGAGGGTAAGGTTAAGAGATGGGTGGAGCAAAGATATGTAGGCTTACCTTGACTTTTTGATTATTCCAGATATTATGAGACCGGATCCATCCGCCCTGGTGTCATAGGCGGATCCAAACCAAAAGTGGCCACGCCTATGGTGGTGAAAGCTATCACTAAATACAAGGAGGAGAACCCGACCATGTTTGCTTGGGAGATACGAGACAAGTTGCTAAGCGACGGCGTCTGCTCTAATGAAAATGTTCCAAGTGTCAGTTCTATTAATAGGTAGGTCAGTGGTGTTCGGGGTTTTGTTGATTTCATGTTACTTCTGTGTCTACTGTTTTGCTTGTTATTAGTATAGTTTTCTGTGCTGTTGACATCTTTCTGTTTACTCAAACGAACGTGATACAATATACTGTGGCAGAGCTTTCCAACCGGTGTATCTCGACACATATTAATTCGGCTGCAGTCTAAGGGTGTATGGCACGAAAGTAACGCATTAAACAAAACCATCGCTAAAGATATGGTCGTGAAAACCTGAGATTTGCAAGTAAACTGAATCACTTTGTCGCGAAATTATCTTTATTTACTTCGGTGACTTACCGTCACGACAATTTTGCAAAGCTCTGCGATGTAAAGAGGTATGGGAAAGACTACTCATGGCGATGGCAAGTGTGACTAGCAAGGTCGGCTCATGTTGCTTTAAGAAGTTATGCCAAACCAGGTAAAGCCAAGGATAAAGCTCGTCCCCTCCAGAGCACACAGCTGGTCAGAAGCACACAGCTGGTCAGGAGCACACCGCTGGACATGAGCACACAGATGGACAGGATCACACAGCTGGTCAGGAGCGAACAAACGAACCTAATCTTTAAAAACATGTGAAAATAGGGGTTATTGGTATAAAGCCAATACCTATAAATTAATGCAGTGAACTGTGACAAAAGGTAAATGAAATAGGAAAGCAGAACAAAGTGCACAATACAACATAAATTGGCGTTTTGGAAAAAGCCGGTTTCGGCATGAATTAAACTACACAAAAATAAGACAGGGAAGACTACTTTAACCAGCGAAGGGTCACGTGAGAAACTAAAGAAAAGGCAATGTGGAATGAAAAAATAAAATAAAGGAAGGCTTAAAAAAAGTCGTAAAAGTAATAGTGATAATATATAATAATAGTAGATGGAATAAAAGAATAGTAGAAATATAACTGATAATGAACTATAAATTGTACTGATGAGAGAAAGAATAAAGTAATAATACGAAATGAAATTATCATTTTAAAAAATGCAATAAAATATAGTAAAAATAAAGTAGCAATAGTAAAACTGTTTAGATGAAGGTATGCTGGACATTGATGCCTCCTAGACTAAGAAAACCCAGACTGTGGATGAGGCGATTTGTATAAATTGAGGCCTGTGGTATGATCGCCAGAGCAAGATTCTTTGTGTAGCTGTAACTTTCAGCTTGCAGCCAGTGGGTGCGAAAGGAAGAGGAGAACGGGAAGGGCAGTACGATGTGTCTGCAATTAGTGTGTTCCCCGTCGATCACTCTCTACAACATGTGATAGTTATGTCATCAGTACGATCTCAATCTGGACGTCAGAGCAACAGGAGAGATCCTAGATACACCCTTCAACCCCTGAATAAGGGATAATTCGGGCTCCCGTACCTGCTACACCAGCCAGGGCTAACCTGCAGTCATCTGCGGGTAAGGACCATATTACTGTGCGAGAGACTGAGCAAGCTTAGGTTTACCCTGTGTGTAAGCCCAATCAAGATCAACAACCTACGGGTTGTGGAGAGCAGGATATACCAATATAGTGCTTCGTTCAGTCGTCACTGGGGCCCTTCATCTTCTTTCTGACTTGTGCTCTAATCATAACATGGCGTGAAGTTGAACTGGGTATCTGCGTTGGTTCTGTTGTACTGACATCGACAAAGCCGCTCAGCTGGTCGCATCAGTTACTGAAGAGATACGAGACAAGTTGCTAAGCGACGGCGTCTGCTCTAATGAAAATGTTCCAAGTGTCAGTTCTATTAATAGGTAGGTCAGTGGTGTTGTCTGCTTCCGGGGTTTTGTTGATTTCATGTTACTTCTGTGTCTACTGTTTTGCTTGTTATTAGTATAGTTTTCTGTGCTGTTGACATCTTTCTGTTTACTCAAACGAACGTGATACAATATACTGTGGCAGAGCTTTCCAACCGGTGTATCTCGACACATATTAATTCGGCTGCAGTCTAAGGGTGTATGGCAGGAAAGTAACGCATTAAACAAAACCATCGGTAAAGATATGGTCGTGAAAACCTGAGATTTGCAAGTAAACTGAATCACTTTGTCGCGAAATTATCTTTATTTACACCGGTGACTTACCGTCACGACAATTTTGCAAAGCTCTGCGATGTAAAGAGGTATGGGAAAGACTACTCATGGCGATGGCAAGTGTGACTAGCAAGGTCGGCTCATGTTGATTTTAGAAGTGATGCCAAACCAGGTAAAGCCAAGGATAAAGCTCGTCCCCTCCAGAGTACACAGCTGGTCAGAAGCACACAGCTGGTCAGAAGCACACAGCTGGACAGGAGCACACAGATGGACAGGAGCACACAGATGGACAGGATCACACAGCTGGTCAGGAGCGAACAAACGAACCTAATCTTTAAAAACATGTGAAAATAGAGGTTATTGGTATAAAGCCAATACCTATAAATTAATGCAGTGAACTGTGACAAAAGGTAAATGAAATAGGAAAGCAGAACAAAGTGCACAATACAACATAAATTGGCGTTTTGGAAAAAGCCGGTTTCGGCATGAATTAAACTACACAAAAATAAGACAGGGAAGACTACTTTAACCAGCGAAGGGTCACGTGAGAAACTAAAGAAAAGGCAATGTGGAATGAAAAAATAAAATAAAGGAAGGCTTAAAAAAAGTCGTAAAAGTAATAGTGATAATATATAATAATAGTAGATGGAATAAAAGAATAGTAGAAATATAACTGATAATGAACTATAAATTGTACTGATGAGAGAAAGAATAAAGTAATAATACGAAATGAAATTATCATTTTTAAAAATGCAATAAAATATAGTAAAAATAAAGTAGCAATAGTAAAACTGTTTAGATGAAGGTATGCTGGACATTGATGCCTCCTAGACTAAGAAAACCCAGACTGTGGATGAGGCGATTTGTATAAATTGAGGCCTGTGGTATGATCGCCAGAGCAAGATTCTTTGTGTAGCTGTAACTTTCAGCTTGCGGCCAGTGGTGCGAAAGGAAGAGGAGAACGGGAAGGGCATTACGATGTGTCTGCAATTAGTGTGTTCCCCGTCGATCACTCTCTACAACATGTGATAGTTATGTCATCAGTACGATCTCAATCTGGACGTCAGAGCAACAGGAGAGATCCTAGATACACCCTTCAACCCCTGAATAAGGGATAATTCGGGCTCCCGTACCTGCTACACCAGCCAGGGCTAACCTGCAGTCATCTGCGGGTAAGGACCATATTACTGTGCGAGAGACTGAGCAAGCTTAGGTTTACCCGGTGTGTAAGCCCAATCAAGATCAACAACCTACGGGTTGTGGAGAGCAGGATATACCAATATAGTGCTTCGTTCAGTCGTCACCCGGGCCCTTCATCTTCTTTCTGACTTGTGCTCTAATCATAACTTGGCGTGAAGTTGAACTGGGTATCTGCGTTGGTTTGTTGTACTGACATCGACAAAGCGGCTCAGCTGGTCGCATCAGTTACTGAAGAGATGAGGGACGCAGCGTCAATCAGTTTATCAGCTGTACACAAAATGTAAGACTGGCGTATCAGCCATGTTTACATGTGGATTGGCACCTAACACAACTGATAACGTCCTCCAAGACTGTTCCAAATACAACATATCAAGGCAGACTGGCCAATAGAAACACTGGCGCAAGCCAAACGCTGACTGCAATCATAAAGACAATGAAATTCATACAACAGACAACATTGAAGACATCGATCATCTGTTTCGGGCGAACGAAAGAAGTTTATCTAATAATATACTTCTGTTTTCGCGTTGGTCCCAAAAATGGCGGTTGGCACTTTGTGTTGTAGCTGTCAGCATGGCTGCAGCATCTGCGCTTTTGGCCCAATACACTCCGTCTCAGCAAATCAAATGACATGAAATGCCAGAGATAGAAAGTTAAATACATCTTTGTAGTTGTGATCTAAATACCATCTACATCAGACTTGTGTGATTTATTCAACAAAACATAACATGGCGGGGGGGGGGGGGGGGTGGAAGAAGGGGGGAAGTTGTGTAAACACATAAAAAGTTGCGGATGATGACTACGGCAAAGAGCGTTGTCTTTCCGTGCATCTGTTTGTTAGGAAGACTCAAACAAACAAAAGGTTATAATGGACGGACATAGAACAATGACATCTCCTGGGAATAATACATTTGTCGTCAGAATTCGCCAACATTCATTTGACAGAAATGAAATTGGCGTGATTTTTGCCAGTAAGCTTGTTTTTGAAGTTTTGTCTGCAAGTTCCTTGGAATTCGCATCCCTTGGTTGTCCCGTTAATGTCGCGCTTCAGTGCTATCCGAACGTTAGGCTAAACCCGGGCTAATCCGACTGAATTAGTCTTTGATTTGTGGTGTACGCGAGCCACAGGGGTTCACCAGCAATACGTTTGTGCCCAGCTCTGCAGGCCGTGGGTGTCTGGTTCTGCTTGGCTGATCACCAAGCTTCCTTTTGTGATTTAATACTGTTTTTTATTTACCTAATATGCTTGTTTAACAGCTTTGGATTGGGAAATCATTACGGGATGAATGTGACAGTGCACGTTATGTGTGTGTGTGCGTGTGTGTGTGTGTGTGTGTGTGCGCGCGCGCGCTACTCGAAAGCCTGTAACTTTTGTTAATTACAGATGGAGATACAAAACTAGGGAATTTTTAAATTCTTAGGGCGGTGTTGTCGCTACATTCTATGCTTACTCTATACCTGCTTCTGTTAGCAGAATTCTATAACTTATTTTATCGCAGTTTGTTTATTTGCATAATTTATAACTGTTTGTTGTAAGATGTTTAACTTTGATTGGTTTTCTGTGTAAAATTCTAACCTTTAACTATACTGACTGAATGCGGTGACATGAGGACAAGTCATCGGTAAAGTCACAACCTGTACATTCGCACATGTCTCTTTGTGATTCTGTATTTTACTTCAACCACCACCCCCTCCCCACCTTTTCTCTTAAAAACAAGTTTATCGATGCAAATTCTGTAGTGTGCATGTGAAGAGATAAGCGATATTAAACAGATAATGAACTGTGCACTGTATTGTTTGTGTACTGAAACACACACACACACACACACACACACACACACACACACACGCATGAAATGTCTCTGGTGACTCCTCGATAAAACTCGAAATTACAGGCACCGAAATAACGATAGCGGAAACACAAGTTGGGACGACACCAGTTCTAAATTATCAGGAAAGGCAACAAATCAAATCTGGACATGAGTCAAGACTGCCACAAGATACGTCAGACTGCTTGTCGCCTTGGCTGGTAGAGCTCTGAACCCTGTAGTATGTCACCACTCCTCCCACAGGGCCCGATGTTTCACCTGTGCTTTTCAGTGTGCATACAGGCAGGATTGTGGCAGTAGAGGCAGCAGGGATTAGGAGAGCGACAATAGAGGCAGTGGGGATTGGAAGAGCGGCAATAGAGGCAGTGGGGATTGGGAGAGCGGCAGTAAAGGCAGCAGGGATTAGGAGAGCGGCAATAGAGGCAGCAGGGATTAGGAGAGCAGCAATAGAGGTGGTGGGGATTGGAAGAGCGGCAATAGAGGCAGTGGGGATTGGGAGAGCGGCAATACAGGCAGTGGGGATTGGGAGAGCGGCAATAGAGGCAGTGGGGATTGGGAGAGCAGCAATAGAGGCAGTGGGGATTGGGAGAGTGGCATTAGAGGCAGTGGGGATTGGGAAAGCTGTGATAGAGGCAGTGGGGATTGGGAGAGCGGCAATAGAGGCAGTGGGGATTAGGAGAGCTGCAATAGAGGCAGTGGGGATTGGGAGCGCGGCAATAGAGGCAGTGGGGATTGGGAGAGCGGCAATAGAGGCAGTGGGGACTGGGAGAGCGGCAATAGAGGCAGTGGGGATTGGGAGAGCAGCAATAGAGGCAGTGGGTATTGGGAAAGCGGTAATAGAGGCAGTGGGGATTGGAAGAGCGGCAATAGAGGTAGTGGGGATTGGGAGAGCAGTAACAGAGGCAGTGTTTATTGGGAAAGCGGTAATAGAGGCAGTGGGGATTGGGAGAGCGGCAATAGAGGCAGTGGGGATTGGGAGAGCGGCAATAGAAGCAGTGGGGATTGGGAGAGCGGCAATAGAGGCAGTGGGGATTGGAAGAGCGGCAATAGAGGCAATGGGGATTGGGGGGATTTTGACTTCTATCAACGAGGTTATGATCTTCACACAGGGGAGAAATAGAAGAGAAACATGCAGAGAACTGCAGTCGCTGGTAGAGCAGATATGTGAGTGGTGTGAGGAAACAGTTTCAACCATCCACCCACATAAGGAGGTAGTATTGTGGAGCTCTTTAAATAACTAGAATTGCTACAGATGTGTTGTCTAACATCACAGTGAACTGCAGTAACATAAAGATTACTTTTGACAAGTCTTTTAAACACCACATGGAAGAGGTAGTTTTTGAGAACGGGAAAGGACTCAGTGGTTTGAACATGATGGCATTGGCTGATAGCGGACTCTGCCAGCAAGTGATTACTTCAGTCATGGCTTATGAATATGGAAAAAACCTTTGATAGCCTGCATAGGGAATCACAATGGACGACTTTGTGTCACTGTGGTCTACCACAGAGAATAGTAAATTTGATTAAAGCCATTTACTTAAAGTTTCTGTGTAAGGTAGTTTGTGATAATTATACAACAGAAAGTTTCTTTATCAACATAGAAGTCAGACAGGGATGCATACTATCGCCCTATTTGTTCAATTTGGCCGTTGTCTGGCTGTTGAAGGAAGTTACACGAGATAGAAAAAGAGATAGCAGGTGGTCACTCACCTCTGTTTTAGAGGATCTGGACTATATAGATGACATCAGCCTTATATCAAGCCGTCATGTGGAAAATAGGCGGACTTTCAATCAGGTTGCAACAGATAATATTAGCATGTAGACTGTTCGTTGGCTGCTGAAGACGGGGACGGAGCACGAGTGGGAATGTCCCGAGTGCAGGAATGTCAATTCTAGATTCATTTATTCCACCAAATAATGCACCATAGAGAGCCCTGTCACTTAGACACAACGAAAGCAGACTTAGAAGTGGCCCACGCAAGCCGTGGATAGATGGAGTTTTCCAGGCTGTGCATACCAGCGACTACGTTTTCTTGAAACCTGACGCTAAAAAACAGAACAGGGCTAGAGATTAGGGCTGTACCGAATATTCGCTTCGTATTCGCTTCGGGGCCAAATAGTGGACCTACTAGCTATTCGGTATTCGGCCGAATAGTGGCGGTCGGGCCGAATACGAATAGTGATTTCTGCATACACTGCGATGGACTAAAATAACTCTCTCATTAATATTGTCACAATTTATAGCCGACTTTTTTTTATTTTCGCCGCGGCACCCCTGTCATACGCACCCAGTTTTAGAACCTGCTGTAATGCCTCGGAGTCAGGCGCTGTTACCACGCAAACGGGTCGCCGTTTTTCCCGCTACGAAAGATTTAGGCATCGCTACTGTTGTGTTAAAGAAGGCATGAAGAAACTTGAAAGTGTATCTCTGTGTGTGTGTGAGAGAGAGAGAGAGAGAGAGAGAGAGAGAGAGTGAGAGAGAGAGAGAGAAAGAGAAAACATGCATTTTTTTTTTTTTGTTCTTTCGGGGTGTCTTTTCCCAAATCAAATTGAAGATATTGCAAACGAGAATATGAAGGTGCATTTAAATTACATTGAACGAACGCCTGAACGAAAAATAATTTAAATGCGAATTTGGCACATGGATAAAATCATATGAAAGATGCATTACTAAGGTAAAAAACCAAATAGGACAGGCTAAAAATGCATTTTAAATTTAAAAAAAAAAGAACATCTTGTGCAATATATCGTTGTCTTGTTTGCTACATACATCCAGTTTTAACATATGGCTATGAGTCCTGAACAATCGGTAGCCAGGCCAAACAATTTTTTGAGGCCTCGGAGATGTGGTTTTACAGAACAATGCTTAAAATACCTTGGAAAGCTTAAAAAAGCAACCACTAGGTTTTGAAAGAGGCGGGAGCCCGAAGACAACTAATCGCAGACATCAGAAGAAGACAGTCATCACATAGAAAGAGTGAAAATGGAACATGTGGTGACCACTGGAAAGATTTGTGGAAGGAGAGATAGAAAAAGACAACGAGAGAAGATTCTTGACAGTCGTTGCATGTCATGGAGGTGTGTCAGCACACAAACTGATACATGCTGCAGGAGATCGCAGATTGTGGCGAGGTAAAATCGCCTCACCAGTCGGCGAGGCACCTGATGATGATGATACACTATTCGTATTCGTATTCGGCCGAATAGTTGGTCCCACTGTTCGTATTCTGTCGAATAGTGAAAACCACTATTCGGTACAGCCCTACTAGAGATAGCAGGATTACACGGCGATGAGCGTGGTAAAAGGGGGAGGGGGAAGAGAAAATCGACTAAGAGGAAGAGAAACAAGAAGAAAAGGGAAGAGTAAGATTGCTGGTGCCCTCATTATCATTATTTCACTTCATGAAGGGAAACATTGCGCTGAAATATAAATACTTAGGAAGCACCCATGATGACAAAATTACAAACAGAGAATATCGCTTTACCGGGAAGCAACAACTAGAAACTGAACACACAAACAAAGAAACGGCACTGGAGAAACTACATGGTGGCATTGTTAGAATCGATGCAAACACGTGAAACGGACGAGCTGACGAACCAAGAAATGTTCAGTGTCACACACTGGGCTCATAGGCCTGTCTTACGTTCGTCCCTTCTATACACTCATCTTTCGTGTGTGTCTGTGTTGTGTGTGTAGATTTGAATGTACGCATTTTTCATTGGAACTTTTATCTTTGTACTTTATATTCATACTATAAATTTTGATATAAGAACATAATGTGCTTGATATATAAAACACAATTGTCGTGTGAAAAGATGGGTGATTGAAAGTGCCAAATCTAAGACAGGTCTGAGTTATCAGATTGTGAACCTATGGAATTCATTCTTTCGTTCTTTCTTAAAGCAGTTGTATTTTATGAGTCTCGTTCATTCAGCAATAAAGATAATGTGGATACTGAGTGAAGTACTACATGAAACCAACATAGGGGGGGGGGGGGGAAGGCTCCGTGCCCAAGTGGTCGAGCGGTTTGCCTCATTTGGGTGTTTAATGGTGATTAAGTACTTACATATGTATGCTCATTTATTCAGTGCTCCTAGATTTGGTTCTCACATATATAGTGCTCCTAGATTTGGTTCTCATATTTTTAGTGCTCCTAGATTTGGTTCTCACATATTTAGTGCTCCTAGATTTGGTTCTCGCATATATAGTGCTCCTAAATTTGGTTCTCACATATATAGTGTTCCTCGATTTGGTTCTCACATATATAGTGATCCTCGATTTGGTTCTCACATATATAGTGATCCTCAATTTGGTTCTCACATATATAGTGATCCTCGATTTGGTTCTCACATATATAGTGATCCTCGATTTGGTTCTCACATATATAGTGATCCTCGATTTGGTTCTCACATATATAGTGATCCTCGATTTGGTTCTCACATATATAGTGATCCTCGATTTGGTTCTCATATATATAGTGATCCTCGATTTGGTTCTCACATATATAGTGATCCTCGATTTGGTTCTCACATATATAGTGATCCTCGATTTGGTTCTCACATATATAGTGATCCTCGATTTGGTTCTCACATATTTAGTGATCCTAGATTTGGTTCTCATATATTTAGTGCTCCTAGATTTGGTTCTCATATATTTAGTGCCCCCTAG